CAGGCTGTGCTTGGGCGCCAGCAGGCTCTGCACGTCCTCCTCCACGCGGTAGCGGCTGAAGCTGGCGCCCAGCAGCACGGCGAGCAGCACCGGCGTGGAGGCGAAGAACACCGGCTGGCTCGCCACGAAGCGGCCGAGCGCGCGGAAGCCGCCGCTTAGGCCGGCGTGCAGCACCTGGCGCAGCATGGCGGCGCGCGGCCGACCAGCCTCCAGCGGCCGCTCCAGCCTCTCCCAACCGGCGGAAAGCCCCGAGGCGGCGCCGAGCTGCATCAGGGGCGGCCGGGCGCATCGGTGCACGCCCCGCTTCTCTGCATCTGCGATGAGTGGTGGGGGGTTGTCTCGTGTCGGTTTATTGTCCTCCTCTCATCTGCCATGAAGTCTCTCTTGAAAAATTGGGAGAGTGACAATTAGTGAGACATGTCGCCGTTCAGCCAACCCCCGAATCCTCCTACCTGACGCTGCAGCGGGCATCCCGGCTCAAAACGCCGCAGACAAGCTGCGTCTTTCGGCGTGTTTGAGCGGATCTTCCCCCCGACGGAAACTGCACCCCCGAAAGCTCAGCTCAGCCCAGCGCGGCTGTTTAGTAGTCTGTGCGTATGCGTGTGCGCGCGCGCGTGCGTGCGTGGGTCTGTACATGCACCATCCACGCATTACAGGTGTCAAAGGAAAGATATCAAAATAAGAGTGCCTCGTTGTACGACGGGAAGTGAGACAAAGTGTGAAAATGAACCAATTAATTTAAAAAATAAAATATGAGGACAGGATAAATACAAGTCAACATCACATCATAGTAGAGGAAGTTTCAGTTGTGCCATTTCAAAATAAAAGACCACAACGAAGCTCTTCAGGCAGACTCTGTATATGCTGGTAAGTCACTTAAAGTCAAATTATACACTTTAGTAAAAAATATATATATATAATAATGTAAAAAAATACATAAATAACATTTTGTTGTTTGGGGTTTTTTTTAGCATTAGGGAGGAAAATTCTCAAATCTGTCCTGATTATCGCTACGTCATATTCTGCTTAGCAGGCATCCAGCAATCTGGCTCTTACTGACTTTGTTCACGAAGGAGTGAGAATTCTCAAATGCGGTGGCCCGATCATCAGTTTGAGTGTTCTGTGCTTTAAATTTTAATGACATAAATCAGACTTGTGTTGGTTTGAATCACAACAGCGGAAATTTGAATGATGTAATCAGTCCTGGTAGAAGGCTAATGGAGGAGTTGGGCGCAAAGTGGACGTCCTCTGTGTTTGTTTACGTTTGAAACCATGATTAAATCAAGGCCCAATTAGCTTTTAATAGGCTTGGGCGAGCCAATGAGTGAGCGAGTGTCTCCCGAGGCAGGAAGTGAGTGCAGAAAAGGAAATGAAAGAGAGTGGGGACATGGCGCCCTCGGGGGATTTTTTCTGAGAACCAAAGTCATAATTAGTTCATGGGTCAAAGATTTATAGCAAACGGAATCGTGCGTACAAGCATTTTTTTTTTTCTGGGTGACGTGACGTCCATTATTTAGGCGGCACGTCGGTGCTTCCTCATCCCTACGTTTCGGTGCAGCTCGTTCATTAATAAAAAGTCCCCCCCGCCCCTTCACTCATGTATAATTGATGACATCATCCATCTCTGAACCGCTCCAAACATGCCCGCCATATGTCCACGTTCCGACCCAGATATGCAAGAAATGTCCAAACTCATGAAATGAGGAATTTGGCTGAACTGTGCCGTGAATGAGGAATGTAAAAAAAGAAAGCACGTCTCGACCCCCATAAAATCCGAAACATTGGAATGATTGTTTTCATATTTTCAGAGGTTGAAGTGGGCATGAGTACAGATGTGCACATTCATTTTGGTTAGGATTGTTTTGAGTTTTGGGACACTAAACGGCGTTCAGCTTTTTTTTTTCTTTAGGAGATGGCCACATTCATTTTTGGTGACGGCAGTTTGACATTCAGCGACGTTAATTGCGCTTACATTGAACATTTTAGACCGTCCCTGTGAACAGTTGCTACATGGCTGCGTATTTGCCAGCTCTCTGTTTACCGAGTGAAGTGACCGTCCATTATTTCTTAACGTCTGAACAAAGACAGAACGCTCAACTGGCCTGGACGAAGGCTTGCGGAAAGGGCGGGTCACAGGGAGGATGTGGTCAAAATTTGATTACAGGCCAGAAAAAAAGCAGACGGGAAAATGTTGCGATTGGGACAGAGAAGACCTAAACATTGGGTTGCCTTTCCTGACGCTGCTAATCTTATCTTTGAGTTTTGTGAACGCACAGCAGGGAGAGCGCACGTCTACATTTATAACTTAAACGCTCCTGCTTCACAAATTCAGATAATATGGTGTCCGAGACGGCAACATTTGCTCTCAACACCAATTGCTGAACATCTTATTTACTTCCGCACACCGGGTTCCACGCACCCGCACAGATTGTTTTTCGAATAAGCGCATATAGCTGTGACGCCCGCCAGGGTTGCCACAGATACAGGTCATTAGCGACGCCAGCCCCCCCCCGCCTGCCTGCCACTCAAACGATCACATTCAGGATGACCCTGATAAGAGAGACAACACAAGGGAGTTGCCATGGCAACAAGAGTGAGATAATGCCTGTGTTTGTGTGTGTGATAAGTGGCCACTAGTTAATAAGTTGATGTGACACACACACACACACACACACACACACACACACACACACACATACATAC